ATATGATGCAGTATTAGATTTATAACTAATGGCAACAGTGTCAAATTTAAGTAACTTAAATGTGGTAATTTTTAACCAGAATTGTAGAAAATGTTTCCTTACTATGGTAGTGCAGTAAAGATTATATGCTTAAAATGCTAATTTTAAAATTTTACTTGATTAAAAAGCTGATAAACTTCGACGAACATGTTTTAAGACAGTAGGATTTATACTCCTAGTTGAGTCAAATATGAATACTTTTGGCCCCTCTGTTTCTTACCCTGTAGTTCATTTGGTAAAAATGTCAGTATAACCAGCACAGCATTTTATAGTTACAGATGGGGGAATTTCTGCATTATCCAATAGCAGTTTAATTTACAGGAGAGCATACCTGAACATATGCTGTATACAAGTCAAGGTACTCTCCCCTGGAAGGTATTGAAGTATAGCCAATTATGCCATCAGTCATCTCTGTTCTGTCGGCGCCTCTTGTTGCATAACTGACATTTTTGCCATAGGCTACATTCTGTGCTTGGTTTAAAACATCCTGTTTAACAACAACTTGGTCTGAATTCTGGCCGTTTCTCAATATGTGTACTTTTGCGTTCTCATGTGCTCGTGTACTCGAAAAACATCGTTAGCCTCAGCCCTAGTACTGTTCCAGTTCACAAGAAAAGACTGAGAACTGAAAAAATCCCTGAATGTTGTCATCACCCCTCCCTCTTTACCCAGCATGCATCAGAGCAGACCTGTCCATTCTTGAGATTGACAGCTGTCCCAGCATGCACTGCGGCAGCAGCTTCTTCCAGGTTAGCGCTCACAGAGCTCAGAGTATTAGGTTAAAAGATCTCTTTTCTGTTGCCCTTCTATAAAAGTACGTTTTAAGATAAGTCCAGAACATACTTTTATATGGCCCATTTACCGATTTAATGCATAATTTTAAAAAAGTTCACATGTTGAGAGGACCGCGGTAACCAGCGGATCTAGAACAGCAGTTTAGCTCGTCTGCAGCCGTCCTCTCTCTGCATAGCCGTGTGTGAAGTACTGCTGGCTATGATGGCAAATTTTTTGTTTTATTTGGCAAAATGTTCATTTGTGTTTATCTGACTGTGTTAATTATTATCCCCCCCACCCAAATGAAAAAGGTAAGAATTTTTTTATCTAGAGACTATTAAGAGGATGCAGCTCCAGACGAGCCGAGCGTGTGGTGACGTCACAAGTACGTATCTGTTCCAACTGACCCATATTTATGCTGCGTGCTCCCGTTCCCCCAGAGCTCAACTTTTTTGCATTCTACTCAAGAACATACTTGGCGAGGAGATGTACTTGAGGAGCGTTCTTGTGAATTGAGAAACGGCTTTCATTTTTCCATCTGTCAGAACAGTGCAAGCATGAAAATATTCTATGCTAGTCTCTTAATTCTTAACTTGAATTGTTCAGAAACGCCTTTATGGAAATTACACAGTGGCAAAAACTTTCAGGTTTAATACTGGAGATATTCATGCAAAGAAAAAAAAAAAAAACCCTTTGGGGAGAAAGAAAAGACAAATGAAACTTTCCTGCTCACCTAGTTTTAACAGGTATCCTGCCTCAAATATTAGTTTTTATTTTATTTTATATTTTTAACCATATTGATTGGAAGGAAAGCAGTAGCTTTGAGCAATCAATAGTATCAGAGTAGAAGCAAGTGGTTCCTGGTGCATATATTGCCATTACCTCTGTTGTAGGTGGCAAATTGGCCAATTTCTCTATGGACCTTAGGGAAAGTCCTAGGATTATTCTTAAAAGTAAAGACTTTGTCTTCCTTCCCAAATCCAAAATGTCAGTTATCAAACGCCACATTGACTGATGCCTACCATTTAGATTTACAAAAATGGAGAACAATTCCATGTGGAAACATTTGTCGGAATGAGAAAACTTTAATTGGTGCTCAAAATTTCAAGGCAGGGCGTTATGAATTCTAATTTACAACATTTATCCCGTATCAGCTTCCTGCTGAGTGTTTTAATGCTAAAAACCATAATTCACAAAAAAAATGAAAAGACCTCTCTGTTGAGGTAGATAGAGAGCCAGCAAAGTCAGATAAAATGCAGCATGACCATTTAGGCTGCAGTTGCTTTAAAAATTATCCAGTATGGATACGATTTCGAACCACAAATGGAGATGGCTAAAATTGGATATAGATACAAAGATTGAATTTAGGTCAGGTTTGCCTGTAGTGTGAGCCTTAGAGCCCCTGATTCTTTTCTTCACAGTAACATTTTTCCTTCCATACTTTAATTTTCTGTAAAATCTCAGCATAACCTTTTTTTGTAGTCTAGTTCTAATCCAAACATGTATTAAACTTAAATCACTTCTG